GAGTGTAAATGACCTGACGGGAAGTAGCACACGGGGGGCAAGTTGAAGGCACAACTGCTTAAAGAACGGGAGTATCTTCCTATCTCATGTGTACTACCTGGGTGGGAAAAAAAGTGTGTGAGCACCAGCAAGCAAGCGTACATCAAAGGACGCCTTGCAGTGGTAAGCGTCCGAGAGCTGCTCAGAGATGAATCTTCCAATGTTCCCGGACACCACATTCTCTGATATCGCAACCCGGGGCAGCAAATGCTGTTTCAAGTGCTGAAGGTGAATACAGGTGACCTGGGCAACAAGCGCTAGCCGCTAGCCATCCTGGCGTCTACCACCCTACATCCTAGTGTCTACATCACATGTAACAAAGGATCATGAGCTAGGCCCTAGACACGCCGAGTGCATCCATCCTCCTTCAAGCAAGACCCCATTTGAGAATCATCAACGCACGGCGCGCCAAAAAGTGATAGATCTGGACGGGTTGGTATCTGGCATATACCATCATGCGCTACGCACGGTGCTGCACGCATCAAGCGGAATCCACCCAAAATGTTGCACACCTTCTCTATGCTATTGTCTGCGCTGAGAACATCATCACGGTAGGTGTCCGGAACAACATCGACCACGTTCTTGAATACATGAGCACATGGAAAGTCTCGCTTCAAGCATTGTTGACCCTGCTTGGTCTTCTCGCTAAAGCTGACCTTGGCCAGGAATGACAGATTGTATTTTAGCAAGCTGCACACGTGCACATGCTGTACCTTCTGACACCTGCACATGAGCTAGGATCTAGCCGCTGAGCTTCAAACGTGTTTGAAGACGATCCCCAAGCCATTTGCTGTAAGCACATCCGCTGCACGGCTAGAAGTACAAACCCCACTGAAATGTGAGGTCGTGACGAGCTCTTTGTGTGTGCAAACAATTGGCGGCTTGGATGTTGTCTTCCACTCACTCCGTTTGGTCCTGATGTATTCACAAACTGCAGATGGCCACTCGAAAGCTTCCAGCAGTGTTTTGGAAGGGTATCTCGCTGGAATATACTTTGACCTGCTCTTTGGCCACTTGCTTGGGTCGTTGCTCTCCACCTCACGACACGCTCAATATTACTAAATCACAAAAACCCTTGAACAGTCTTTACAGGGTTGCAAGCATTGTATTCTCATGAGATGAAACATGGAGCACCTATTTGTTGCTCCCGGCTAACAGTTTGTCCAAGGTCAGCACATCGTCGCCAGAGGTGGATTCTGACAACTCAGCTCGAACATCCCCGCGTTGAGGTTCCTAAGGGTCACTCCAACATGCAATTGGCAAAAA